TTTTTACTTTTTTAGGCTCTTTGAATTTATTGTATGTGTTTTAATCTTGGTTTGTCCATGTTGTAGTAATTGTCTGTTGGGTTTTGATTAGTATTTTGTTGAATATATAGACAATTTTAGAGATTATTGACATTTTAACAACATTGAATTTCCAGATCATAATAAAAGTATATCTTTTCATTTATGTGTTTTTTTATGTGCTGAGATAAATTCATCTCAGCATTATTTTGTCATTTTCTAAGTGAAGGTTGTTCACATCTTTTCTCTCCATATTTTCCATTAATATGTCATAATTTAAATACTATTTTAAGGAGTATTGTCCTTTTCATTGTAGTTTCAAGTGTTCAGTGTTGATGTATAGAAATGTAATTAATTTTGTAAACTGATTTTGTAACATCTAATGTTGGTAAGCTTGCTTGTTGTTGTTCATTTCAAATGAACATTTTTAAAATAGTTAAATTTATATATTTTCCTTCAATGAGCAGGAAATGTACAGTAGTTAATTTCTCCCCTTGGGTGTAGTCCCTAGAGTTCTCCCGCCACCACGACACCCAAGCACCATCACCTTAGTCCCGTTTTGATCCCTCTTCTACTGTATATGTCAGATCTATGGTCAGCTTGCAATTTTTGTCTTTGACCTTTTTTTCTTTTCCCCTATATTCCACCTGTAATATAGGGAAAAAGAAACCACTTTTCTTGTATCAGTGTCAGTGAAACCACTGATACTTTGCTTTCTCTTTCTGTCTTATTTTGCTTAGTATAATCCCTTCCAGCTCCATCCATGTTTTTGCAGATGACATGTGTTTATATTTTTTAATCACTGCATAGAATTCTGTTGTGTCTATATATCACACGTTCTTGATCCATTCATCTGTTTTTATGGCACTTTGGTTATTTCTTTATATTAGCTATTGTTAATAGTGCTTCAATTAAGACAGGAGTCCAGGTTTTTAGGAAGGTATTCGTAGATTCCATTGAATTTGTTACGCAGATGATGTTATCCATGACTAAAGACAGTTTCCACTTTTCCAGCAATAATATCTTCTCTTGTTAATCTGACTGGAATCTGTTTCTAATGTTGAATAGAAGTGAAGGAGATTGGAAATCTTTGCTTTCTTTCTGAACTTAGAGGGAAGGCCTGTAAGGATGATGTTGATTGTAGAGTTTTTTATGTTCATACTATTTTTCAGTTTGATGAATGTCTCCTTTATTTCTAATGTTCTGAGACTTTGTAACCTCACTTAGTTGCTATTTGCTATGTATTATTCTTCTGTATATGTTGTTGAATTAGGTTTGTTAAAACACTTCAAAAAGATTTGTGCATCAGTTTTGATGAGGGATATCTGATAACTATTTTCCTTTAATGTCATTGTTTGATTTTGCTAGGTTAATGCTGCATATGTTATGGGATAAGGAGAGGTACACCCAAGAACCTTTAAACCTACATGGTCTAAATAAGATTGGCCAGCTGTCACATCAAAACAAAATCAAAACCTTTTATGGAAAGGAATTTTAATACAATGAGTGTGCAATATAGAAAAGACAAAGAATACACTTTCCAAGTCAACCACCCCAAATTACCCATCTCCTTGTAGGTAAATGCCCAGCCAAGCAGGGTTGGTCCAAAGCAGGGCCACTGAGGCCTGAAAGCCTGCCACAAGTCTAAGGCATGTTCCTGTAGGGACCCAGAGAAAGGGATCAGAAATAGCCAGATAAATCTGGGAGGAAAAGAGCAAAATCAAAATAGAAGCTGCATTGTTAACCTCCCATGGGTTTTTCAGCGATATCTGTTTGAACCACTCCAAGTCTGAGAAACAAGCAAGCTTCATCACATGTCTCTGCTCCAGCTGCCACCTCCAGGTCCACTTCTGGCTTTCCATCTTCCTTCCTTCTCTAGTCTCTCCAGCTTCTTCTCCTTCCTGTGCAGCTCCATACTTCTTTGGATAGGGGAGAAAACCCAGAACCTCTCCCTTTCCTGGTTACCAACCACTCTGTTACAGCTTCATGGGATAATTTAGAGAGTATATCATCCTTTTCATTTTCTAGAAGTATATGTGCATAGTAGATACTATTTATTCCTTAAAAGTTTTGCATACCTTGCCACTGACAATGTCTCAGACTGTAGGTTTTTTTGTTTTAAGGATTTTCTAATGATATATTTAATTTCCCCCTCAGATATATTCAATTTTTAATTTTTTCTTGAATTAACTTGTATAGTTATGTATTTAAAAGAATATAGTTGTTTGTTATATGCTATCAAAGTTATTATGATATTCATACAATTTCCATATTATATGTAAGTATCTAGGGATAGCACAACTTTATTACTCATTTTAGTAATCCTGTTCTCTCTCTCTCATTTTTTTTTTTTGCTGATAAGATTGACCCAAAGTTAATATATTGTATTCATCTTCTTTAAGAATAACTTGGTTTTCATCGGTTTATCTCTGTTTTCCCCTTATTTTCTATGTGATTGAAGTTATCTCCCCAATTTTGTTCTATTGTTTACACCTATTTTGCTCCTAGCTATATTATAAATCCCACATAGTTAAATTCTAACTATGGCGGTACATTTTAGAATTCAGACCTTTAGAGTACATATATGTTGCTTTTTCTCCTCTTCTGTCAAAGAGTTAATGCTATCTTCTTTGTGAATCCTTTTGCAATCTCAAGACCAAAATAAATATTTTTTATCATATATCCAACTTAGCAGTTTAAAATATTTCCATGGCCCTTACTTTTTTATTAAGCTTTGCATTAGAATAATTTTATGTATACTTTTCTAATATTCTATTTAGTGAACTGTTTGTAGACAAAATTTACTACATTTTTATTGGAACATTTTCCACAATACTTAGCATGATTCCTTGCATATAATGAGATCTCAAAGTTTTATTGAACTCAAGTGAATAGGTGTTCTGTCTCAATGTACTATGCCACTTTTGTGTTCCTTAAAAAAATCTAAAACATAAAGCATTCAAAATTGATCATGGGGCACTTTAAATTTCCTCTTTATTGATTTACTGGACCATTACAACACTATTTCATCTTCTGATTAAGCAGTCTAACCAAAGGAGTAAGCATGGCTTTCCATTTTCATCATGACTGCAGCAACACCATGGATTTCATTGTAGATTATATTGATTTATTGCTAATTAAATTGAGACTATGGACTAGTCAACACTGTATATTCTGTTCACTAGTCATACTAAGTCACAGTATTGCTTCCAACTGTAATGGATGCCCCAAATTAAGGGGAAATATAGTTTCTTTCAGGTAGGCA